CTCTCTCTCTCTCTCTCAGTCAGATTACTATTAAGGGCATTGACATCACTATGACATCACAGCAGTCTCACAGGGAAATAACACACTGTCCCTGGAGAATGCCCTCCCCACACCCATCTGTGTGTGTGTGTGTGTGTGTGTGTGTGTGTAAGAGGACACTTGCTTGTAATTAAGCATCCAGCTTAAATTCATGACCTGAGGAAAATTAAAACTGAGAGAAGAGAAGAGAAGAGAAGAGAAGAGAAGAGAAGTAGGGAGAAGTTGTTGAGTGTGATGTATTTTTAGATCATGATGACGCAAAAGCATTTCAGCACACACAAAAGGATACTGTGCCCATTTCACCTCATAACACTAACACAGGCATCTGAAATGGTACACACACACACACACACACACACACACATATACGTAAGTCGTCCTGTCACACTGCTTACATAGATAAATAACTCAAAATATATCTCTAAATCATATCTGTTTCAACAGTTCTGAAATCATTTACAACGGTCTATCTTTTCTGCTCAGTGCTGCAGTACTTTAACTATTCCATCCATTTATTAATATTACAGTTTTAACCATTCATTATTAGTTACTTTAATTCAAACTTCACAAACACACACACACACACACACACACACAAACAAACATTAGACCATACACCCTGGGAAATAGAATTCTCTATTTACTGCAAAAAAAAAAGAAGAAAAAAAAAGATGGTTTTCATAAGTATATTGTTTTGTTTGCAGTAAAATAATGTAAACATCCATAAAATATTACACATATTATTACATGTTATTAATTTATAAATATAAAATATAATATAAATGTATACTTATATAAAAAAATTAATATAATTAAAATAAATATTACACATTGTTATTAAATATTATATAAATTAGGTACTACAAAGTACTATATTTATATTTATATAAAAACTATTTCTTACCTAAATTTAGCATTTTTATTTTAGATTTAAACAGTTTGCCCATAGGGTAAGACCCATCTAAAATAATAAAAAATATCTTAAATACTTGCTGAAAACAAATTTTAATATATCAAGGATGTTTAGATATTCTACTGGATAACAGGAGCAATATATTAAGACAATGATTTTGCATTGTTCAGTGCACAGTCTTCATATTAAATGTTCCAGGCCCAGGGTATTGTGGTACATTTATTATTATAGTTATTAAGGGTATTTATTCAAAGCTCCCATTCAAAGTTGGCTTTCCTGTCAATAGTGAGTCAGCTGACATGCTGAACCCTTATCTTTGCAAGAAGATTTTCAACTCTAGTTTGTCAACATCACATCACAACTAATTTAACCAGTTTTTTCTCAGTTCCTGCAAAGTCTGGAACTTCAGCACATAGTAAAACAAGTCTAACAAGTTTCCCACAATGCAATGTGGGTTCAGTGTCCTTCCATGATCAGAGCCCAGTGTCAGCAAACACAGATCATACCCACATTTGTTTTTGTGTTTCTACATCTGTGAAATTACAACGTTTATAAATGCTGAAAAATACATTTAACCTTTTCCTGCCTGACTTCAGAAACAGAAGAAGGATTTTCTACTAGAAAAGTGTCTTACCCTGAACGAGCACCTGTCCAGCGGTGAGCAGTAGCTGTTGGCCGGGGTCTCCAGGCTGGGCACCGTACTGCAGGATAGTGGCCCCAGGCTGCGGTGTGGCGGGGCTGGGAAGAGTCAGAGCCTGAACCCCCTGCAGGGCCTCTCCTCCGGGGCCGGCCAGCTGTATCGCTCCACCCTGAGTGATTGCAACTGCACAGACACAAAACAATGAGACAGTTAGTCTTGAATCTGCGCAAACACCTGTTATAACACATGATAAAGGGTTGGGAAACATTTGTGCAATATCTATGTAATGTATTGCTCATTCGTAAGAATGGGCCAGTGAACAAAAAAACCCTTAATTTTAAGGGTAATTACTTGAGTTCATACTTAACTTCATGCCGCATATAGACATAATAGTTTGTGAGTAATGAGCTCAGACGTACTGTATTGCCCTGAGCTGGTCTGGTAGATTGATGATGGTGCTGTCACTGTAGCAAAACTGGAGGTGACCGGGGCTTCTTCCTCCACTCTCTCCTCTTCCTCGATCTTAGGCACAGCAGGCACATCTGATGACAACTCATTAAGAATCTTCCTGAGAATACATATGTAAATAAAAACATTAACCTTATCTGACTTAAAATATCAGAATCTGTCACTAAATTTCAGGAAATTCTGACAAAAATATTATGTGTGCCGTTGGTGTGGGTTTCTGGGTATTAATGGGTTTGGAGTGTTTTGTTGAATGATGTCAGGTCATGAGGTCATGTTAACTAAAACTATTAAAACTTACCATTTTCAATAAGTAAAACAAAGCTAAAATGAAATAAAATATAAATATAACTTTAAAAATGTAAACAAATTGTAGAAATGTTGTCAAGGAGCTAGATGAAACAAGTTACTAAAATTACTCAAATAAAAATATTTAGAAATAATAAAAACAAAACATAAAATTAAAATGAGACCTGTGAAAACTAAATAAAAGGTAATTCAAAACACTAATAAATACTATAGTAGTTCATAAATAATGCTAAAAATGTTGCTCAAGAATTGATCTCACCTGTAAGATGGTCGTCTGGACAGAATCTCTCTTCTCTTCTGAGGATCTGATGGTGTTGTACCCGATCTACCAGTATCAACAGCTACCTGAAAACATCCAAACCCACATATATGCATGTCTTAAAGGAACACTCCACTATTTTTGAAAATAGGCTCATTTTCCAACTCCCCTAGCGTTAAACAGTTGAGTTTTACCGTTTTCGAATCCATTCAGCCGATCTCCGGGTCTGGCGGTAGCACTTTTAGCTGTAGCTTAGCATAGATCATTGAATCTGATTAGACCGTTAGCATCTCGCTCAAAAATTACCAAAGAGTTTCGATATTTTTCCTATTTAAAACTTGACTCTTCTGTAGTTACATCGTGTACTAAGACCGACAGAAAATGAAAAGTTGCGATTTTCTAGGCCGATATGGCTAGAAACTATACTCTCATTCCGGCGTAATAATCAAGGAACTTTGCTGTCGTACCAATGATGATATTGGTGATGATATTATGCAGCGCCTGAAAATAGGCTTATTGGAAATTACCTAGCTGGGGACTATTTTCATACGCTGCGTAATATCATTGCGCCTGCTGCACCCATGCTGCGGCAGCAAAGTTCCTTGATTATTCCTTGATGATTGATGAATGAGAGTATAGTTTCTAGCCATATCGGCCTAGAAAATCGCAACTTTTCATTTTTCGTCGGTCTTAGTACACGATGTAACTACAGAAGAGTCAAGTTTTAAATAGGAAAAATATCGAAACTCTTTGGTCATTTTTGAGCGAGATGCTAACGGTCTAATCAGATTCAATGATCTATGCTAAGCTAAGCTAAAAATGCTACCACCAGACCCGGAGATCCGCTGAATGGATTCGAAAATGGTAAAACTCAACTGTTTAACTCTAGGGAGTTGGAAAATGAGCCAATTTTCAAAAATAGTGGAGTGTTCCTTTAATGCCAAATGAGCCTTTAAAAGATTTAAAAAGCATTTGTGGAGGGGAAAATGATCAGTAAATAGCTATTTCTGCAATGTTTTCACTGTACAGGATGTTCTTCGAAAACAAAGGATATTCTATACAGGACATTCTTTTAAAATATATATTTTGTGAGGTATTGATGACAAAAAAAGTCATACAAGTTTGAAACAACATGAGGGTGCTTAAATATTGATATAACTTGAATTTCTTGGGTGTACTATCCCTTTAAAAACCACTGTATACATAAAAAAAACTGATTACACAATTAGATGACAATTGTGCCAGTGACCATGAGTCTTCTATCTCCTCCTGAGCAGATTTGTTTTGTCTGACGTGGGCTGTGTGTGTGTGTGTGTGTGTGTGTGTGTGTGTGTGTGTGTGTGTGTGTGTGTGTGTGTGTGTGTGTGTGTATGACCAACCAGATCAGATGCACTGACTCTCACATTACTCAAATCTCATTACTGCGCCGTACAGCTACTCTCACTCTTCTTGTTACTGTGTCAATCTGCTTCTCCTTCATCCCATTGATCCCGGGATGAGTAAACGTGCCCTGTGATTGGCTATAACTCTAATGGCTGTGATGGGTCAGTCTCTCCACGTGAAGGAACAGGTAAATGAATAACAGGATTTGTGCTTCAATGGTTCACATATCAGCACACATTTCAGTTTTATAAGAGTGAACTTTATAAATGGTAACTTTTACTAAGGTTTATATTTAGATGTCCTGTAAAAATGTATTCAATATATATTAAAAAACCCTGCACGTGTGTACCTGCACAGTTTGTATCTGAGGTGACTGGATAACAGAGGGCTGTGTGGTCTGAATGACTCCATGCACCTGCAGTGTCTGTCCATCAGGTAATGACACCACAGACACACCCTCATTCATCTGAGAGAGACAGAGACAGACACTCTTTAGCCCAGTGTTCTTATTGTTAACTAAATCTATTAAAAATGAATTTTCAAAATGAATTGAAATAAAGCTGAAATAAAATAAAACATAAATATTAGATGAAAAACTTCAATTTAAACAAACGTTATAAATCTTGCCTTGGCAACCAGAACTGTTATAGTTAATGAAAATTTTAATTAAAATTAAAATGGTTAAAAAAAAAATAATAATTATTGAAAAAAAAAAAAACGCTAACTGAAATAAAATAAAATATAAAAATAATTTTATTTCAGTTCATTGCCAAGGAAACATTCTAACTTGACAACAAGTTTACCTTGAGATACTATAGTAATTTAAAAAATTGATAAAAAAATAATAAACAACATAAATATATATATAAAAATACAAATGACTAAAAATGACAATAAAACAAAAAACTTACTTGTTTTAACTAGAACTAAAATGATTAAAAAAAAATAAAAACTATATTAGTATATTTGAATGATACTAAAGTAACACTGTTGGCAACTTAAATAAGATACATTTAAGTAGAAGTCCTAAAATTACTAAAACTGCAATAAAAATAAATTAAAGCAAAATAAAAATAGAAAAAAAAAAATAAAATAGCAAAAGTACATAAAAATTACTATAATTCAAACTAAAATAAACATCATCATTACTATTAAATATAAATTATTATTAAACATAAAAATAAAAACTAATTCAAATTATTCATTAATACTTTAATGGTATAAAAATAATACTAAAATAACACTTATTGTTTAACAACATCCTTTGAAATCAAAAACAAAATCACATTTTGCACAGTTTGGTTTAAAAACTCTTTTTAACATTTAATCTGTAAATATTGCAGTCTGAAACCACACATCAATTACCATGTTTTTTGGACAGAGTATCATACTATGTTTTTATGGTAATACTATGTTATTACCATGTTATGGTAATTACCATTCATTACCATGTTAAGTAACCTGAAGATCCACATAAATCCTATGGTATATGAATGCAATTATCAAACCATCTCATGGCAATAACTGAAACCAAGCATCACCATGGTATCTCCACACTTTTTTTGCTAAGGACTGGAATTTGTAATAGTGTCTGTAAATAAGATTTTGAAACATTTTCCTGAGTTTATTCAAACATCAGTGCATTTGTGCTTCAGTGTGGCGTGATTTGTGCAACAGGTGTCATATCTGTGTAAGGCTTGTACCTGTGTGTGTGAGTGAGTCAGAGACTTACTGTACCTCACTTGTTACTTTCTCAGTTGCGCTGGCTTCCTGTTGCGCTATGGTTGCCGTTTCCATGGCGATCGGCCTAGCAGCAGAGCAGAGAGGAAATGCACAGTCAGCGCTCTGTAGACTAACACGTCACAAGATTTTAAACGGCCTACTGCATCCATCATTTTAACCCAATGTTTGCCAATCTAGTAGTTTAAAGGGGTCATATGATGCTTTTTTAAAGATCATTCTTTTGTGTATTTGGTGTAACAGAATATGTTGACATGCTTTAATGTTCAAAAAACACATTAAAGGAAAACTTGAAATCGCATCATATGACCCCTTTAAAATGTGATGGAAAAAAAAACCTATTCTGCATTTGTGAGTGTTCCTGTTGAAATGTTCATGCATTTGTGAAACTTGTGAAGCAGCTGCTTATTTTGCACAGTGGGGTTTTTCATCTGCTGACAGTGTAAAATGGACGTTTTACCCTCAGCTCATGTTATGAGATGAAATATCAGCTTTTCCTAATCTTATGAAAAATGAACAATGCATGACAAATTTATGGTAAAACAGAGGATCAAAGCTTTAATAACATTTACTATTTGGGTTTGAGTAGGTAAGAGAACCTATCAAAATAACTTGATAAGTTAACTTAATATATATTATAATTCTGGTGGTTTATGATTAAAAATTGCGCGCGAACGTCGAAACAGTGAGCGAGCATAACGGCTGCGTGCACTTCCTCATTCTGTCTAAACGATTCCAGTGCACAAACTTCTCAGTTATTCCAGATAAGCAGACTCGTACAATTTATGAGGAAACGTATTTTACTCCATTGCTTTAGTATGTGGAGATTATTCCATCTAGTGTTGAGTTAAGGGTGTTCAATTAACTTCTGTTTCCTCGCTGGATTGACAGAACAAACGCGCGCGCAAACTGTGAACAGCTCGCGCTTATGTAACATTATATGTATGTATTGCAACATTCATGAGTTCACAAATAAATGCAGAACAGTAGTAAAGCAACTCGCAACAAAGTTTTATGTTCTTTAGGCAAACTGTCTACTGTATTTATTTGCATAGTCCTAGACCAAGATGCGTCATTCTCCACAACCTCAATTAATTTTTAATATCTCCAGCTCTCCATTTAACTTGACCTTTTTGCTTTGTGACTCAGATTATATTTCAGAGTAAATCAGATTATTAATTTAAACACTCAGAGTATGAAATCTGCGCGCTTTACGTTATTCGCAGGTTTATTTTCTTGTCAACAGTAGTTTAGCGCTGGTTACACCACAAACCGCGTCCTAGACAGCTTCGCCTCGCTGCACATATTATATTGAGAAACTAATTTAACAGAAGCTACATGTTCGTCTTCCTGCGCTCATCTCCAGATCCTCTCTGGCGGCAGATCGACATGCCAGCAATAACTTACCCGACTTTTACGTAGAGTCTCGTCACTCGTTACTGGTGCAGAGGAAGCCCGACTCGCTGCACACGTAGAGCCCACGTCAGCTCTGATGATGCGCCTGGGAAATGTGGACTATGCAGCCGGGGGCCCCAACAACACACGCACACACACACACACACACACACACACACAGACACAGAGTGGGCGGAGCCGAGGGGCCGCTGTCACTCACCAAATGCCCTAAACGGTCCATTTGATCAGCGAATTGATTTCCGTAATGCATTAATGCCTTTGAGGCTTCAATTTCATGATACTAGTTAATCGAATTTAATAGTAAACAAATCGTTTCAGACTTATTAGACTTACCACAAAGATTTATAGAAACAACTTTATACTCTAAAAAATAAATAATAAAATCATCTGCCATTTATTAAAAAAAAGCTTCAATGTAAATCAAATATAAATACAGAAGTTTGATAATATAGCGCCATCTTGCGATAGAAGAATACAATTGTTTCTCAGTTGTCACAAATGTAATACAATGTGTAGATAGATAGATAGATAGATAGACAGACAGACAGACAGACAGACAAACAGATAGACAGACAGACAGACAGACAGACAGATAGATGGACAGACAGACAGAAAGATAGATAGATAGACAGACATACAGACAGACAGACAGACAGAAAGATAGATAGATGGACAGACAGAAAGCTAGATAGACAGACAGACAGAAAGATAGATAGATGGACAGACAGACAGAAAGCTAGATAGACAGACAGACAGAAAGACAGACAGACAGACAGATAGATAGATAGATAGATAGATAGATAGATAGATAGATAGATATAGAATGTTATGTGATCAACTATTTGAGTTAAGTTTGAGACAGAGTTTTAGTTGTTTGTTGTTAGCAACTGGTACTTTGGGGTCACAATGTTACATGTTGTGCAAATAACTCACAAGTCAGTGTTGATTGCATTTGTTGGAAACTATTTGCAAGATTTACACTTACACTGGAAACCACACTAGCAACTCCTTACGAGTGAGAAACAGTCACAGGAGGAGACCACTGACTTTGTCAGCGAAAAGCAGATGCTCATCCATAAATGATGAGTCACTGTAGACTCCACCACTGGGATTCAGCCCACTGTTTGGGCTGATACGTCAAACATGCTTATGAGAAGAAAAAAATTGCACTACCTAAAGCTTTGAAAAAAAGACAAAACTTCATGGCTCTAAACATGCAGACAGGGACTCACAGCACTGACCCTGTGTCTGAAGACTCACTAACTGTGGCATGAAAGTTGGTAGAAGAATTCTCTACTAGAGTTTTCAGTAATGGATCTCCAGTATCTGGTCATTGTGCCTTACAAAGCATACATAATCCTACAGCTGTTCCACTAAAGCTTCACTCAACTGGGTGTGTAGAACTAATCTGTATCAGGCCCTGGGTGTGTGTGTGCAGTTTCACTGCCCAGTGCCACCTGCCCAGTATTTCTATTTTAGTACAGCTCTGCCCTACAAGCAGAAAGTTAAATGTGACACACACAAACTCATACATATACGCATAATTGTCCATATGTTTGGAAACCAATGCCAACATACTAAATCATTCACACACTGACCTACGGAGGACTAGGAAACTAGTCTAGTCAGCGAAAGTGGACTTAAAAACAGAATTATGGAATAATCTATCAATTTAATACTTCAAACATGAAAATGAAAATAAATAAATCACTTTTTAAATGGAAAAAAATAACAGACATATTTCATAAGGAGTTGCTCTTAAAATTGAGTGCCAAGTTGATTGGTTGCCCCCACAAGTGAACTGTCTAGTATCACTTGATTAACAAATGGATAAAGAAAAGCATCTGACAAAATGAAAATATAATAATAATAATAATAATAATAACAATAAAGAAACAGACAAATAGTTTTTAAATGCAATTTAAAATGTGCATTTAATATTATGTATGCATTTTACTAGATTTTGTAATTAAAAAAATATTTATGAACTCATTGTTTTATTTAACTAAATTTAAAATAATTAATTTTAAGTTTTAAATATGTTTTAATTTTAATTTTTACATTTTAAATATGTATATTATTTTATACATTATTTATTTCCATTTTTATGTATTTTATGTATCTATTTTTATTATTAAACTAATATCTTATTTCCTCAATTTATTTTTAAATGTCACTTCTTTATTTGAAAGATTTCATTCATTCAGTCATTCATTCAGTCGTTGTTTGATTGGTTGATTTCAGTCTTTCAAGGTCAAGTCTAAGTCAGGTCAAGTCAAGTCAAGTCACAATATTTGGAGAACATACTTCCCTGTTCAGACACAAGGTTTTAATTTGGAATCTAAGTCAGTTTTGTTACTTGTGATTCCATTTCTGCATCTCATAAATGTGATGAACCTTTACCCCTATACACTAACCAAAACCTCACAGAATCAGAATCAAAATCAGAAAAAGCTTTATTGCCAGGTATGTTTACACATACGAGGAATTTGTTTTGATGACAGAAGCTTCAACAGTACAAACAAAATGACAGCGACAAGATAAGACACGGGTACACAAACTGATATTCACATATTTCACTATATAGGTATGTGAAGACATTTCAAAAAAGAAAATAAAAGTAAATCGTGAATTATTAACTTTTCAATTTATGTTAAATTAGTTTGACTTTAAGATCAAACAAGTACAGCTAAACTTGTACACACGCACGCACACGCCTTGCGCCAGTGCCGTTTGCCCTCGCCAGAGGGCGCAAGAAGCCCGTTTTCGTTGCTCCTGAACCGACTGATCACGGCGCGGTTCCCGTACACAGATCCCAAACACTAAACAGGTGGTCATACACCGCCACACAGCGCCCGCCGCGATGAAACGGAACGGGTACCGATCGTAACTTACACTGAGCCGCCAAGGTGCTGAACCAAAGATTATTAATGATCTGGACACCAGAGCCTTTGATCCCGAGTTTCCCTTAGAGTCGGGAAGGTCTAAAGAGAGTTGGAGCTATGAAAGTGACGGTGTGTTTTGGAAGAACTCGGGTCGTGGTTCCGTGCGGAGATGGCAACATTAAAGTGCACTCGCTCGTCCAGCAGGCCGCGATGCGGTACCGGAGAGCGATCGCCAAGGTGAGATGCTGTTTCTCTGTATCATCTTATTGTGCTCTGGAAACATAGTTGCGCCGGTGAGGGCTGCAAATATGGCGGTGTCGAGACGGAGTAAGTGAGCGGGGGAAGGGATTGGGACAGTCCGGACACTTTAACTCCGGGAAAGAATGGCTTTATTCCCAAGGAGATCAAGCGTTTTGTGTTTTTATCCTCTTCTAGTGTGCTGGACCTTCCTCTTTGTTCTTTATGTCCACGGCAGACTGCTGGAAGCCAGTGAGAAATGGGGCAAATTAAGTAATATAAGAGAGAGCGAAGTTTACTCCACGTTTGAAACGTTATTACTCTACTTTGGGACCCGTTAGAAATGACAGCATTTACTAGAGTGCAATATCACGTACATTGACTTTTTGTTTACATGGCAGGTTGCTGCAACTGAAGCATCCTTGTGCTTTTTGTGATGAAAATATGTCTTGAACGTGTACGCGAGTCCTGCGCTTTGTTTAAGTGAGCTGATGAGAGCTGCTGCTGCTAGGCTAACAGTGATAATTGATATGTCCTCTACACGTTTGGCACATTTAAACCGTGCATTTTCTACACTTCTACAGAACGACGCGACAAAACCGGGACGCTCTCTTTCCGGAATCAACAAAGTTCCGCGCGTTCAGCTTCGTTGATTAGTTTCGTCGCGTCGCTAGCAGTGCATATGGGGCTCAAGAAGTGCACTTGCTACTTTTTTGCTTATTTAAAAACGTTTTACTCATACAAAATTAAGGACTTAAAGAAATATTATTACAACACTCTAGAAATGTCAGTCTTTTAGAAAACGCTGTTTTATATTCTACATACAACGGGTCGACTTTTCATGGGCGCTGCCATGCAAGTTAAGCGCAAACTCCGCCCCACTGCCAATTTTAGCGATTTCATTGGTTTTAGTATTGTTGAAGGCGTACACAATTTTAAAACAAATATGAATGCCTAACCTTAACCATAACATTAGTATAGCATTGGTAGCATAGATAGCATTAAGGGCCGTTCATGCTATAACCATTAAGTTTTAATAATCATTCTAATTCTATGAGATTATGGAAATCACAGCTATAACGATAACAACACAGAGGAATGATATAGTAGGAATCACTTTCAGAATGTTTTTATTTCCCAGCTGAAAAACATTGACAGCCAATCAGAATCCAAATTTAAAGAGCTAAAGCAAACAGAACATAATTGTACATTAAGCTATTATTGTTATAGTGAATGTTCTTGTTGTGAATATGCCTTTACCGTTTGTCTGAACTAAATCTAAGATGATGGGTCATTTATGAATCATTCATTGGTGTCACGTGACAAATGAATGGAAAGCCTCAGGTGAACTAATCATTTGTGTTTCTCCTGATTTATGTATGCTGCCTATATAGTTTATAGTTTCTTAATTTGAAATATGATCAAATGAAAAGTTTGAATGTGTGCAGGGAATTTTGTCATTGAAAATATTTTTACATTTTAACACCCGGCCTAAATCACTTCTAAATGACTTGAATTATGATTCATTTATTTTGAATCTTATAGAGTCGCTATCTTCTGATTTTCCCACCACAAATCCATGAAGTCTGAACTTTTCATTGACAGGTTATATTATATTAACAATAATAATACTTTTACAAAGCAAAAACTGATACACAGGTTTGATAAACAGGTTGGTTCAGGTTCTGAACATAAACCTGTCCAAACTGTGTCCCAGCATGAATCACCAACTCGCAAACAAGCCTCAGGTGAACTAATCATTTGTGTTTCTCCTGATTTATGTTTTGCTGCCTATATAGTTTATAGTTTCTTAATTTGAAATATGATCAAATTAAAAGTTTGAATGTGTGCAGGGAATTTTGTCATTGAAAATATTTTTACATTTTAACACCCGGCCTAAATCACTTCTAAATGACTTGAATTATGATTCATTTATTTTGAATCTTATAGAGTCGCTATCTTCTGATTTTCCCACCACAAATCCATGAAGTCTGAACTT